AAATAGCATCATTTTCTGTGTGAGAGAAGATGTTCTCTCTCCCTTATGATTTACAGCATCCAAGATCCAGTGAAGGGTCTGTTATGCATTGGTTCCAACCCAGTGCACTGAGGTGGTTGTTGGGGTGTTCTTCAAGGAGTGAGGGGAGCTCTGGTACCATAGTCTGCAGTGAGTTTTGGTGCTCACCCAAAGGCTACGTGTATCTGGTCCTTTGAGTCAATCAGCAGCAGCCCTTCTAGAGAAGAAAAAAGGAGCGTATTGCCATTGCCATTGCCATTGCCATTGCCATTTACAGCCTCTGGAAGCCAGGGGAGGGTCCGTGGGAGCTGGGACTGTCTTGACAGCAGTGAGTGATGTGAACAGGATAATAAGGAGATCTGGTGGAATAGCGCTTAACTCAGAGGGCTATGAATCAGAAAGTGAGCAGTGTGAATCCACCTGCAGCTACATGGGAGAAAAGAAGCCAGGCTCCTTCCATAAAAATGCACAGCCTTGGAAACCAGATGAAGGGTTCTTGTGATTTGACACACCAACTTAGCAACAGCTGGTCTTGAGTTTTCAGGTGGAATGATGGAGCTAAGCCGTGTTCAGCTAACATCACCAAACATGACAGTGTGTTCTCCTGTTGAAAGAACACACTGCCATTCTTATTAGGTGCTGCTGAACCAACTCCTACTCATAGTGACCTTTTCGTACAACAGGAAGAAACCCTTTCTGGTGCTGCACCCCTCACAGTCTCTGTTGTGTACAATGAACCCATTGTTATACTTGTCATGTCAATCTGTCTCATTGAAAGCCTTACTCTCTTCTGTTGTTGACTTTCAATTTTTTCCAAGCATGCTGTCCTTTTCCAAGGACTCGTTGTTGTGTGTACCGTAGAATGGAACCCACCCATAGCTGACCTTCTGGATGGTTTTTAATGTGAGTTAATTGCACAGGAGGAGAGTGCCCATCTTTATCCTGAAGAGCAGCCAGTGGCCTTGAACCAAATGCCTTTGGGATTGCAGCACAGCTTCTTGCCATGAGGCCACCAGAGCTGGTCCTCCTGATAACATGCTCAGAGCACATGAGATGACATCTCACCATCCTTGCCCTAAGTTCACCTCTTCCAAACCAGATTGTGTTGGGGTCTTTTGGCTACTCATGGTATATTCAATATCCTTTATCTATGCCACAATTCAAAGACATCAATTACGTGTCCATCTTTTTTTATCATCGTCAAAGTTTCACATGCATATGGAACAATTGAAAATACCATGGTTTATATAAACATCCCATGGTTTAAGTAAACATAGATGTTTTGAGTTGTAGTGCCAGAGAAAAGTCTTGAGCATACCATGCACCGCCAAGAAAACAAATAGGTCTGTCTTGGAGAGGGTGAAGCCAAGTCTCTCCTTGGAGACTAGGATTTTGAAGCTCCACTTCACTTACTTTGGACACATGGTCAGGAGAGACTGGTCCTTGGAGAAGGACATCATGCTCATAAGGGTGGACAGACAGCGCAGGAGAGGGAGACCCCAGATGAGATGTATTGATAGAATAACTGGGGCGATGGGGGTTGGTGTGTTGGAATTAGTGAGACTGGCTTAGGATATGGAAGGGTTCAGAGCTGCTGTGCATAGAGTGGCTATACATCACAGGTGACTAAATAGCACATAACATACTATGACATGTTTGGTAGCAGGAGTAGCATCGACTTCCTAAATAGCATGCCTCTGGAAACTCTATGAACTTTGATAAGTGTCGATAGTTGTAGGGAGCCTTCAGGCCTTTTGTTCATAGGGTTGCTATGAGTTGTGCTCGACTTAAGGCAATCAGCAACAACAACAGTCTTTAAATTGACACCTTTGGTGTCTTCAGAACTTTAAAGATGTCCTTGGTGGCCGATATACTATACTTTTGATTTTTTTTTTAATAACAAATATGTTTTATTTTAAATGCAGGATTGGGCTTTGGTGAAAGGAGGCTGAGGCTCAAATGGTGTCAGCCCCAAACAAAGGAAAGAGTAGGGTATTTATTCATTGTACAATGGGGTAGTCACAGCAGTTCGAAGGGCCTGGGGCCATTTCCCATTATTTCAGCACTCCCTGTTTTATTTCTGGGTGAGTAATGAAACCATGTTTAGGGGTAAACATTAATCAGATTATTTACTCTTTCCTGGAACACAGGATCTTCAGGTGGGGTCAGAAGTTCAGAAAAATGGAATCTTTTTTATTTCAACTTTATTTATATTCCCAACTTAAAGGAGAGGGGGAAGAGACCTTTGCCCTTTCTAAAAACTACTTCCTGCGGAACTGGGGCAAAGACAGGAGCGAGGTCTTATGTCAAAGGGAACTTGGACAGAAGTCATTTCTACTGAAAGCTGGTTAACAGAAACAGTCTCGTTGGCTTGTTAAGTCTTCAATTCTTCTACAAACATAAATTGGAGTTCTGCAGGTATGATGCTGGTGGGGGCACTGGTTCCTCGGTTCTGTCAAGTTTTGTGGCATGAACAACCAGGTCTGGGAGGTATGAAGCTGCTGATAGGAAGGAACTGAAAATTTAACCATTTGTAGAAATTTGCAGTCATGGGAAGAAGCTTGGAGTCGAGGGTAGAAACTTGCAGTTGTGAGTAGAAGCTTGAAATCGTGGGTAGAAAATTGAAGTCATGGGTAGAAGCTTGAAGTTGTGGGTGGAGGCTTGAAGTCAACTGCCAATCCGTGTCCTTTGATTTCTTGACTGCTACTTCAAGAGATGTTGATTACGGATCCAAGTAAAATGAAGTCTTTGACAACCTCACTGATTTCTCCATTTAATATGAGCTTGTTGGCTCAGCTGTGAGGGTTCTTGTGTTTTTCTTCATGCTGAGATGTAATCAGTACAGAAGGCTATAATCTGATCCTCTTCATTAAGCATTTCAAGGTTTCTTATTCAACAAGCAAGGTGGTGTCACCAGCACATCACAAGCGGTTGATGAGTCTTCCTCCAATCTTGATGCCATCTCCTTCTCGGTGGTCCATTTTCCTAGATTATTTGCTCAACATACAGACTTACTAGGTATGATGAAAGGATGGAATCTGACACACATCTTTCCTGTTTCAAGCCACACAGTATTCCCTCACAGCCAGACTAGGGGTTAGCAGCATATGTTACACATTATGCCACCACAGCTCCCAGTGTTCGCTGTTGTTGCTTTAATAATGGCATTCTGGGTCATTGTTGTTAAGGTAGCATTGAGTTGCTTGCAACTCACAGTGACCCTGTGTACAACAGCTCCGAACTCTGCTCTATCCTGAGCCAGTCTTACTGTTTGTGACACACCGACCCCCATTACCCCAGTTACTTTGTTAATCCATCTCTTCTGAGGTCTTCCTCTCCTATGCTATCCTTCAACCTTTCCAAGCATGATGGCCTTCTCCAAAGACTGGTCGCTTCTGGGCATGTGCCCAAAGTATGTGAGACGAAGCTTCAAAATCCTAGCCTCCAAGGAGCGGCCAGCCTGGTTTCACTCCCACTCTGGGGCAGATCTGTTAGTTTTCTTGACAGTCTGTGGTATGTTCAATACTCTTCTCCTGCACCACTACTCAAAGGCATCGATTCTCCTTCTATCATCATTATTGTTCATCTCTCTGATATGTAGCAAGTAATTGCAAAGACCATGCCTTAGTTAGGCACACCTTAGTCTCTAGACTGACATCGTTGCTCTTCAGTACTCTAGAGAGATCCCTCCTGTGAGATAAAAAAGGAGTTGAGGGTGAGAAGGAAAGGAGAAAACTGGTCCCAAGAAACGAACAGGCCTTTATTGGGTAGTCTAAGGGGGATGCCAAGCCACCTGACCCCACTCAGAGAGAGTCAAAAGGGTGCACAGGCAGTCAAGGGCCACCTCTTTTTTTAGGGATTTTAGTTGGGGTTTAGGGAGGACAGAGCCTTCTCAGGACCCACTGCCCACTTTTTATCTGGCTGCTTTATACGTTATCAGGTTTCTCAAGGTGTGAACAGGCCTGGGGACAACTGTCACATTATTCCTCCACCTGTCAGCCGACTTTGCCAAGAAACAGTGAGAGTGATACTGCCTCAGAATAGAGCAGAGTTCAGAGCTATTGTACTTAAGGCCACTATGAGTTGCAAGTGACTCGATAGCACATAACAACAACAATGTCCTCTCACAACTGGACTTCTGGTTACAGCGTAATATGTTACAGATTATGCCACCGTGGCTCCCAGTTTGAGCTACTCTTGCTTTAATAATGGCACTATGGGTATTCATACTTAAGAAGATTTCTTGTCTTGTCTTTTTGAGATGCTATGGAATGACATTATTTAGTATCTGAGATTTGTTTTCGTTGAAGGCCGGTGGATTAGAACCACATACCTTTGGGATCACAGCACAGCTTCTTACCACTAGGCCACCAGAGCTGAAAGCCCACTGGACGATCAGCTATGAGTCAGTTTGAACTTGAGGCACACAACAATATTAAAAAGCAGGCTTGAATTTTTTAGCATAGAGGTTGAATATATTTAATTTGGGATTTTTAAAAAATTTATTTTATTTTATTATTTTTTGTGTGTACCATCAAATCAGATCTGACTGGTACAGGAGGAGATTGTTCCTCCTTCTCCAGCAGAGCATCTGGTGGATTCGAACCATGCACCTCTGAGATTGCAGTTGCAGCTTCTTGCCACTAGGCCACCAGAGCTTGCCTTTAATTTGGGATTTAAAAAAAGTTTTTAATTGTTTTTGAACTTGTTTAGTTTCTTTGTTTTTGCCCTTTTGTCATTCCTTCCTTCTAGAATGTGGGAGTGATTTGGGAGTCAATGTGACAACGTGGAACTTAGTGCATCTTTTGTTTTCCTTACTAAACTTTGATAAATGTCGATAGCTTTTGTTCATAGGGTCACTATATAAATTGTGCTCGACTTGAAGGCAATCAACAACAGCAACTAAAAGTGGGTTTGGATTTGGATTATGATAATTGGTTAAGAGGATTTCTAAGGAATGCCAGCTGCGTGCTCACTCACAGGTTCTGGGATCTCCAGCTATGCGAATAACCCCGAGGATGTCCCCAAAGCCTTCGAGGATTGTATGCAGAAAGTCAAGGAGCAGCTTCCCGCCCACCTCCACGCATCCACCCCCATTCACCTGGGAGCCACGGCTGGGATGCGGCTGCTGAGGTAAGGACCAGAGGGGCACACAGGAGACCACTTGACCAACATAGCCAAGAACGTACTGCGCCTTGCCAAGAATGTACGTCTATTTCTGGGAGCAAACTTGAAAGCCCATATTCTGGCATAAATGGAGGCTTTAAAGGTTGGGAAACTTTCAGTCCTTATTTTAATACCCAAAAAAGAAACAGTTCTGGAATGGACTCCTTTTCCCTTGATGATTTCCCTGAGAACTATGAATAAAAGGCAAGTTAGGTGAAATCCACTCACAGGGTGTGCTTTTAGTTACTTTAAAAAGGGTAGGAGTTTTGCCACCTACCAACAAACAACTCCACGTAGTACGACCCACAGCTCTGTCATTTCTACTCATGCACAAAGTGGCATTGAGTCTATTTTAAAATGAATTAATAAAATGTCTGCACCTAGTATTATTCAAAGTCTATGAAGTTACTGAGAAACATTTTATTAGAAAATCACATTGTTTCTGGACAACTTTTCTCTTCATTGATTCCTCATTATACTCTTTTCCTTAAAGCGGTTCTTTAACTTTGAAGTAAAAGGAAAATAAACAGCAATTCAGAAAAGAAATAGTAAACTTAAAGCCTTCAGGGTAGAGGCTGATCCATTTTGGGGAAATAAGGCTTTATCACCAGGAGACAACACTCATTTGGGCTTAAAAGCCCCTTTGTCAATGACCCCAGTAATCTGGAACTATTTATAAGCATATATGAAGAATATATGAAGAAGCAAACAGCTACTTAAATCAGGGGATGACATTGGAGAAGAAATCTGGAAACAAGACTTCAGCTGGATTGCACCATTCTCCGAACTGTCAAGTTCTTGTACCTGTTTTTGGTTGACCAATATTATGAAATGCAGTTAAATTTCTTTGCTTGCTATTATTGCCCAGATAATAGCAGGGTGGTTTTTTTTGTATGAGGGGTTTTTTTAAAATAAATTATATTTTTCTGAAGTAGAATAAAAAAAAATCTAAAAGTTCTTTATTTCTAACAAAAAGTTCTAAAGAAACTAACATTTTTGACCTGGAGAAGGCTGCCATAAATGGAGACACAGTGGCATGTAGCCTTCCCTCTAAATCTCCTTTCAAGGAGGGAGGTCCGTGTTGTTGGAGATATAACTTTCTGTGAAATCTACCACTGCTATTTGTTGTTGTTGTTGTTTGATGCCGTCGAGTCGTAGACGACTCATAGCGACCCTATGAACGAACAGTCTGAGCACTGTTCGTACATTGAGTTTCCGGAGGCAAGCCATTTCAGAAGTGGATGCCGCTCCTGCTTCCAGGCTTGATTTAGTCAGGAAGCTCCAGCCAACACTGTCCACCATGGGTGCCCATTACCACGATTGGTACATCACTGTCACAGGCTTCAGCATCACAGCAACCACGAGTTACCTCTGTACAGCAACGCACAGACCCGTGCTATACCACCTAGAAGAATGTTTGACAGGAAAACAATTTGAACCAGGCCGAGGGCTGCAGATGAAAATCACCCACATTTGGCTTGGTCCACTGCTATTTACCTTAAAAAAAGAAGAAGAAAAAGAAAAGAAACTAACATTTTCGTAGTTGTTTCCTGTTGTCCTCCTGGTAGAAAAATTCAAAGGCTCTGTACTTTATAGCTCATGGGAGGGGAAAAAACAACAAACAAACAAAAAACCCAAAACACAAAAAAAACCATAGAGGAGAAAACTCACCACTTGGTGAAAATAGTTTATGTCCCAATCTCAATAAATTATAATTAACTCCTCCTCCTCCTCAGAATGTTCTGTTGGTAATCCATTAAGTCTAAGAAACTAACTGCCTTTCTGTCATGAAGAAGATGGGATATAGAAATGAGAATCAGATGGGAAGCAGGAAAAAAGAATTACTCTGATCAAGGATAGTTTACCACTTAATTGACTGTCAGCTGTTAGCATTTCCCTTTCATTGTCCTGAACCAAAAGTGAGCCAGCATCCATAACTTCCTTAACGTGCTGTTGCGAGGGAAAATGATGCCCCAGGAGAGCTTTCGTCCGTAGGTAAATAACATCAGATGAATGAGGCGAGTCATGCTGACACGGGTGATGTATTAATGCTATGCCGTCATTCCTCCCTGGGTCAGCCCACTGAAGCTTTTCTGTCCAGTGATGGCCATACGCCCTAAAGGAGAGATCCTATTGTAAGGAGGCCCTCTTCAGGAACACAGCAGGGGCAGCTAACCAGCCTGCTTCCTCTCCTCTTCCTTCGAGGGAATCCTTCCTTCTGGGCTGACGAGGCCTTCCTTGTGAGATGCCCCACAGCCATTCTTCCTGTCAGTCTTTTTTTTTTTTAATTTTTATTGTATTATTTTACGTGTACCGTCAAATCAGATCTGACTGGTACAGGAGGAGATTGCCCCCTCCTTCTCCAGCAGAGCATCTGTGGTGGATTTGAACCATGTACCTCTGAGATTGCAGTGCAGCGTCTTGCCGTTAGGCCACCAGAGCTCCCTTCCTGTCAGTCTTTTGCCTTCACTAACCTTGTTTCCTCTGCTGAGTTGAGATGGGGCACTAGTGTTTAAGTGAGGGAGTCTTTTGATTAACTGGTTGTTAGAGAATGGTGCAGGAGCCTCGTAGTGGTGTGGAGAACAAGTGGTATTTTTACTGGAAGCTAATTTCCTCCTTGGCAGTGTGACAGAAAACAAGTGCACGGCTGTCCTCGGAGGCTTCCAGGTGCAAAAGGGGTTGTGTGTCTTGTGCGCATCTGGAAGACCATCCCTACCAGCTGCAGGGGCTCGGGGAGCGGGGCGGGAGGGTTGGTTACCCTTTCCCCCCCGAGTGCGACTCTCTGAGGACTGTCTTGTCTGGGCGCTCAGCCTCTTGTGTTCTGTGCCTTGCATAGGTTGCAAAATGAAACAGCAGCTAATGGAGTCCTTGCAAGCATCCAAAACTACTTCAAGTCCCAGCCCTTTGATTTTAGGGGTGCTCAAATCATTTCTGGGCAAGAGGAAGGGGTATATGGATGGATTACAGCCAACTATTTAATGGGAAATTTCCTGGAGGTGTGTGCAAACAAATGCATGGTTTTTAATCTTGCTGTTTATCCCGTCCCTTGTGGGTGGTAGTTTAAGCAGAGGTGCCGGCCAACCAGGACCATCTGTCCTCTGTCATCCCCTCCACAGCATGCATCAGGGCAACAAATTTGAAACAGTAACTGAGAAGAGATATTAGGTACCTCTGAGTGTAACCGGGGCAAAATTGTTGGTGGGAAATAGGACTAAATTGGAGGGGGAGGAGGAACATTATCACTTTACTGGGTTTTAAAACTGGGGCGGGAATCTACACCTAACACCAGGGGGAAGTGAGAATGACTTATTAGAGGGGCTGTGGCCTTTGATAATTTACTAATCCTTCAAGCAGACTGTTTTGCAGCTCCTGGGAACCCAGACCCCTTCACACTCCACTCCCCATATTTCTTGCCTCTTTCAAGGCAGAAAACAAAACAAAACAAACAAAAAGAAACCAACACACACAAAAAAAAACCAACCCACAAAACAAAACCCAACCAAAAAAAAAAAAATCAACAAAACAACACCAAAACCACCAAAAGATCACTCACTTACGTTAGAGGCAGCACACTAAGAACACTCAGACCATATTCAGACCAAGACCTGCTTTGTTCCTCCTCCAATGTAGTTCAATATGAAAGTTAGTTGTAAATAATACATGGGGAATTTCACATAAATATCTACGTCTCTAGTGTTCCTGACCTCTTCCCCCAAAGGGGGAGGATGTGCGGGAAGAATTAGTCACAGTAGACTCATTCCTACACAGTAGCAACCAGCTGGATCATGGTACGGTCACCAGTTTGCCCCACTCCTCACCACTCCCTATTGTCACACAGAACTGACTTCACTTATTACTTGTTTACATTGTATCCCAAGTCCCTGGAAGAATTTGAGTTCATGGCTTCTGAAAGAAGAGGTTTGGCCTTGAATTCTGTACATACCAAACTTAGTGGCACTGTTGTTGTGGTTGTTGTGTGCCGTTGAGTGGAAACCAACTCATAGCTAACCCTCCAGCATGTTTTCAGAAGCAGTAAATCACATGGGAGGAGACTGCCCATCCTTCCCCCCACCCCCTACAAAGCAGCTGGTGGATTCCAACCACGTGCTTTTGGGATTGCAGGACAGCTTCTTCCCTCTAGGGCCCCAGAACTCCCCTTAGTGGTACTAAGAGATGGGTTTTAGATGGAGATTCCTGGGCAAACAGAGATGGTGCCTCTGGCCTTTTTTTTCTTTCTTCCTTTTTCCATCGTGCAGAAGAACTTGTGGCACATGTGGGTGCATCCCCATGGAGTGGAGACCACAGGGGCCCTCGATTTAGGGGGAGCCTCCACCCAGATATCCTTCGCTGTGGACGAGAAGGCGGGGCTGAACACCAGCGACATCGTGCAGGTGTCTCTCTACGGCTACGAGTACACTCTGTATACACACAGCTTCCAGTGCTTTGGACGGAACGAGGCTGAGAAGAGGTTTCTAGCATTGCTCCTTCAGGTACTCAGACGTGGGAGGCAGCGTGTGTTCCTTTGCGGGGCTGAGGCGAGGGTGGCCTTCCCTCCTTTCTGGGTCTGTTTTGTCCATGCCAGAGGGAAGACGTGAAAAACAATAGCATTTCCCCATTTACTCCTGGGGGCTGGTGGTTGCATGCTCTCTTCCTGCCGTGCTGGCCGCTCCCAGCATCCTTGAGTGAGGCGTTTGGCAGCTCTCAGAGCCTCATCTGCTTTGTAAATGATTCAAGACCTGGATCTCTTTAAGGACACAGGCAGTTTTAAGCCAATAGCTAAATAAGCTTGAGGCTTTTGAGATTCCCCTGAGTGCAGACAAAATCTTAAACATGGTCATAAGAGAAATGCTTGCTGACAGGGAAAGGTCACAGCCCTCCCCAGGCTCAGCCTCCTTTGAGCCGGGTCCTTATTAGGCAGGGTTTCTACAGTGGGATTTCAGGGTGGCGTGATTCCCTCACATAGCCCAGTGATTCTGGTAAGTGTTCCAGACCACAGATGGCTACTTTGGGCATCAGCGAGGAGGCTGTCATGAATAGAAAAGCCCAGTTTATTGCACGGTGTCAGTGAGCATTCTTGCCCAGTGGATGAAGCCCAGAGCAGAGGCCAGTCTTCAGGGAGTATCAGTCTTAGCCATGGCCGAGCTGCTGAGATGACCAGAGGAGGCACCCCTCACCCAGGAGAGATGTGGGTCCAGCACGCACCACAGATCCTGGCTTCTGATGGAACTCAGGGGCACAGGATGGAGGCTAGGCCTCCCTGGGCATGCACTGCATGCACAAAGAGGTCCATCCCTGTCCCTCTAAAATAAGCTGGATTATCAAAGAAGAGAACAGCATTTTCCAAACACTTGGGGAAAAAAGTCAGTCATTGCTGTAGGGTCAGAGCCAACTCAGGTGACCCTGTGGTGAGTTTTCAGAGAGGAAATCACAAGGGATGAAGATTACCCATCTTTTTCTTGAGACTGGTTAGAATGAGAGGAGAACCGCCACCTTTGGGTTTAGCAAACCCAGCTCCCTAAACCACCAGAACTCCCAGACTCTTGTGTGTTGTTGTGTTGTTGAGTTGGAACCGACTCACAGCTGACCCTCCAGAGGGTTTTCAGAGGCAGTTAATTGCACAGGAGGAGATGGTCCATCCTGCTCCTGCCGAACAGCTGGTGGATTCAAACTACGTGCCTTGGGGATCGCAGCACCAGCTTCTTGCCACTAGGCTATGGTAGCTCCCTCCCAGACACTCGTTTGCAGAAAAAAGTGAGTTGCTTTAGAGTAGTGTCATCTCCGGCAGACTGCATCTTCAGATCCCAGCGTTTGCCAAGCGGTCATGCAGGGTAGGTGGTGGGAACTCTCACTCTAGTTCTGAGTCCCTGCCACAAACTGCTCTCTGAAACTCCAAAAAACTAGAACCCCAGGACAGGACACGTGGATGTGACATTAATTGTCCGAGGGACTGAGCTCTGAAAGGAGAGAGGGTAGAGGCTGCAGGCTGCCTTCAGTTCCTCTGACCTGGCTGAAGAAACTCAGCTGCCCTCATCTAAACCATTACTCCCCACCGAGCCAACCAAATTCCACAGACAACCCAGTCAAACTCCCTTCGCTGGTCACGCTGTGTCCACTGTCACAGAACTCTCAGCACCCACTACCCATCACCTCCACTCACCCCTACTTGCTTATTTAAACTATTTCAATCAACATACTCTGGCCCTGGGTTTGTAGTGGGATGCTGGGAAGAGCCTTTGAATTTCAGACAGAGCAAAATGGACAGGTGAAGGAGTGTGTTCCCAGGGTCAGAGACGCTAATCTAGTTAATGTAACTGGCCTTGCCTGTGGAATAGGGAGTTCTGGTGGCCTGGTAGGTAAGGAGTTGCACTGCCAAGCCAAAGGCAAGAGGTTCAAATCTACCAAGGTGCTCGACAGAAGAAACCTGGGCAATCTTTTCCCTTTTGATTTCCAGCCTCTGAAAATCCCCTGCGGGGTCAGCTATAAGTCAGCCCCAAGTCAACGAGTAGCTGTTTTAGTTGTCTAAGAAATGCACAAGCACCCCAACAGTGTTCACTAAAGAACAGTTATCTAACCATTGATAAGATAACAATCTAGAGCGCGTGGCTCAGCGACCAGCAGCCAACCCCGGAGCAGCGGCCGGCCGGCGTCGGCCCGCATCCAGAAGTCGGGGATGTCCTACAAGCCCATCGCCCCCGCCCCCAGCAGCACCCCCGGCTCCAGTACCCCTGGGCCTGGCACCCCGGTCCCTACAGCCGGAAGTGTCCCGTCGCCGTCGGGCTCAGTCCCGGGAGCCGCGGCCCAGTTCAGGCCACTGTTTAACGACTTTGGACCGCCTTCCATGGGCTACGTGCAGGCGATGAAGCCTCCGGGCGCCCAGGGCTCGCAGAGTACCTACACGGACTTGCTGTCGGTCATAGAGGAGATGGGCAAGGAGATCCGGCCCACCTACGCGGGAAGCAAGAGTGCCATGGAGCGCCTGAAGAGAGGCATCATCCACGCCCGGGCCCTGGTCAGAGAATGTCTGGCCGAGACAGAGCGGAATGCCCGCACGTAACAGGAAGAAGGCTCGTCTGGACGTCTGGACTGGCCAGCACTTCAGATCAAGCGCCTGTTTGTCCCTGGCCTTCACCCTGAGTTGCACTTCCCATCCTGGGCCTCCTGACCTGAGTCCTTGGGCAGGTGTCGTCCAGGAGCCAGGGGCCCACCCCACTCCAGTCAACAGCACTAACTGGGGTCCCCCCCACCAGAGTTAGCATCGAGGCCACTGTGAGTCACACCTGTGACCTGCCAACAGTGCCGATCTAACTGGAACTTTCTCCTTCCCGTGGCCCCACCGCTCAGCACTGCTGACTACTCTGTCCCAGGGCCCCCATTTCCCAGCAGGCCTCGACGGCCTGTCGCCTCCCTGCCTTTGTTTCCTGGGCCACAGCAACTCTTTTTCTCAGTGTGTCTTTTGCTAAATTATGCCCCTTTTGTATAAAATAAAAGATGATTTGGAGTTGTAAAAAAAAAAAAAAAAGATAACAATCTACAGGAGGGAGGTGACTGTTGCACTTTTCTGAGGTCCCTTGAGTTGGAGGATGCGGGTCTTTAGGTGGGAACCAGGACTAGCAGCAAAGACAACTGAGACCCCAGACTCTCACTGTAGGCAGTCTGCTCCCAGGGGTGGGAGGGCTTCACGTCCATTTGTCTGCTAACCTTTGGGGGCCTGAGGTGGTGGCTCTGCCCCAGACGCGCTAGACTCCTGACTCAGGTGAGAGGAGGGAGTTAGGTACCATGAGGATCCCACAGAGATGCGTGTTTGGACCTGTCTGGCCAATACTGTGCTGTGCCAAATATGCGTTGCTAAGCACTGACTTGATTCACACAAATTATCGCGTCATGAGAACTGGGTGAGTAACAAATTTCCATCCACCTTGGTCTTATTTCCTCATCTGCAAAAGAAGGGACTGTCTGGGGTGGTGAGAATGGAAACTGGATGGTGTGGGCTTTGCCAATTCTTTATTAACAAATCTCCACTTGCTCCAAAGCTCACACTCGGATAGCAGATTGGACTGTCGGAGCATGCAGTGGCTCCCTTTCCCTCTTTAAGTAAGACTTCTCCCCTCCCCTCCTTTGGCTTTTATATAATTGTGGGGAAGGGGGATGAGCTTTTCAATCACGTCCTATGCAATATGCCTTTGGGAGCGGAACAACAAATAAGGATGACAGAAGAATATTGATGCCTTGGAGTTGTGGTGTTGGAGTTGAATATCCCATGGACCGACAAAGGAACAAACAGATACATCTTGGAAAAATGCAGCCAGGGACGATGGTGAAACTGTCACACACTTTGGGCAAGTTGTTAGAAGGGACTCTTTCTTGGAAAGGGGCCTGATGCTTGGAAAGGTGGAGGACCAGCAAGGGAGAGGAAACGTTCAGCGAGATGCCGTGTCACGGTGACTGCTGCAACGGGCTCAGATATGTCAGAAATGATGAAGAAGGCACAGAACAGGACAGGCTTCAGATCTGTTATTCATAGGGTTGCTATGCGCTCTACTCCATTCCACTGGACCTAATGACAACATGTGAGAAAAATTAGAAGAATTGATGCCTTTGAATTGTGGTGTTGGTGAAAAGCATTGACTAAATTATGGATGAGCAAAAGAACAAACACATCTGTGCTGGAGAAAGTTCAATCAGGTTGCTCCTTAGAAGCAAAGATGAGGGAGCTCTGGTGGCCTAGTGGCAAGAAGCTGCACTATAATTCCAGAGGTTTGTGGTTC